TCTCTCCATCTTCATTTTAAATTCCTTTCCCTGGCCTGGATCTGTACTTCTCCCTAGGGCAGAATAAGAACCTTTCAATTTACTCATTGAGACCCCTTCAAAGAGAAGGGGTTGAGAGTCCCAGATTGCTATGCAAATCCTTTTGCTGCCCTGTCAGCTCCAGTAAGGAAAGCATTTCCCTTCTCCGAGCCTCGGTCTCCTCATTTATAAAGTGGGTCTCATAATGCTGGCTTTCTAAAAACATTTTATTTATTATCATCATTATTACTATTATTTAATTTGCTATAGGGCATGTGTGCTCAACAGGGAAAGACAGAGAGAGAGAGAGAAAGCAAGCCACCAGGGCCGGGACTTGAACTATGGTTGACCATGTGGGAATCCAGCACCTTAACCGCCATGCCACCTGCTGGCCTTTTAAAGGCCATGGTGAGGCTACGAACTAGCATGCCTAAAGTGCTTTACACTAGGTGTTTTGTATAGTGGATGCTATGTCGCACCCATGGAGTGTAATGGATATTTTAGCGCAGGGGTCCCCAATCCCTGGCCACAGACCTGTACCGCAGACGAACTGGGCCACATGGCAGAGGGTGAGCAGCTGGCAAGCAAGGCTTGAATCATTGCCAAACCATCTCCTACCCCCGTGCCCCATCCTTGGAAAAATTGTCTTCCACAAAACTGGCCCCTGATGGCAAAAGGGTTGGGGGCCACTGCTTTGGCAGACTGACTGGGTACCCGCCCAGTTCAACAGTTATTGAGACTCCATTACTTGCTTTTATTTCTGTTGAGGCCGTGGTTCCTCTCCAGGGTGACCCTTGGGCTGTTTGAGCAGTGTGTTTCCGGGGCATTGGGTCCATTGTGCAGGTTCAATGGGCTGGTGAATAACTCATAGGCTGGCCCTTTGTTCCAGGGGGATCCCTCCCTTGTCTCAGAGGCCAGGCTCATCTGTCAGCTTGAGCACTGTGGAACAATAGCCGGAGAGTCTCGGGGCAGAGGCAAAGCCTGGCCGAGGATGACATCTGTCTCCCCATCCCTTTCCGCGCTAAGCAGGTGTCCCCGTCTCCCTTATAGTGCCAGGTGGGCCCCTCTGGAAGCCCCTGGATGAGTTCTGGAAGGGAGAGAGGGAGGGACTAACCATTGTGTACTCAAGGATGTGGAGTAGGTGATAAATGGGGAGCCCCCAGCTACCCTTCGGTAACCACTTAGGAGGGCTCTTGCTGAATACTGCCTTGCCGACATCCCACCATAACATTGGGAATGAGGCCTCACAGATGAGAAACTGAAGCTCAGAGAAGTGAAGCAACTTGCCCAGAGTCACACAGCAGTAGGGTTGCCAGGTCAGGATTTGAGCTATAGGACACCACCTCTCCTAAAACGGAACTTGATCAGTTGCCTTAGAACCATGACAGTAAGGGGAGTAAACCGACCTCAGATGGTTTAACAACCACTGGTCTGTTTCTCACCATAATAGTAATGTGGATGCCCTCAGCGTCTGTGCGATTTATTTATTTATCATTTTTTTAAAAATGGTTAATTTTATTGATTATTATCATTATTTATTAGTTTTAATTTTGCTGTAGGACCCGTGCACTCACCAGAGAGAGATACAGAGAATGAGAGAGAGAAAATGAGAAGGTGAACCACATGGTCCAGGATTCGAACCGTGGTTGGCCATCTGGGAGTCCAGCACCCCAACTACCATGCCACCCACTGATCCCTATTTGTGTGATTTCTGTTGACCGAGACTGTACTTAGGTGTTTTATGTATGGAATCCCCACTCCTGTATTTAAATGGAAATCTTTTATCCCTGTGGGATCTGACAGCTTGCAACAGATCCCGCTGCATCATTTTCCAGCCAGGGGACCTCAGAGCAAGGCTCAGTTTCCTCGTCTGTAAAATGGAGATAGTGAAACCCAACTCATTCTTTTTCATCAGTGAACTTAGATATACATAGACGAAGGTGCCCCCAATTAGTATCTCTTCTCCATAAATGTTAGTTCAGCTTCTTTCCTTCTTGCTTTTCATTCCTTTCTCTCCTCTGCCTCAGGGGCTCCCTTGTTTGAGGGAGACTTGAATTTGGAATTTCCTCCTTTGTGGGCATTGTGTTTGAATTCATAAAGAAACTGCATTATCCTTCTCTGCAGAGGCATCTGCATCCGCTTTCTCCCAGCCCGGCTGCAAGCTGCTGCACACTCTTCATTATTCCCCGAGTTTCCGTTATCTCTGGACACTCACTTCTGCAAAGCAATTTGAGCATCTTTTGTATGCTTCAGATCTCTGAGCGACAATTTTACTCATAGCCAGGGAAAAAAGACCAAAACCCCAGGGAATGTCTTCTTCTTTTTTTTTTTTTTTTTTTTTTTTGAGGGATTTTTTTTGTTTAAATGTGGTGTGTCCCCGGG